CCGTGATCTGTGTTACATACACACGCTTCTGTGTGTTCCGTCGTTCATTTTGCTGTAATTAAATAGTTGGCATTGTGAATGCCACAAATTTGGAAATTCACAAAATTCTGTTGAGTCACCAAATCATTGTGCGTAACGCATAGTAAGTATGCGTGTGTGTGTGCGGGGTCATTTAAGCTTGTGTCAAAACAGTGGCATTACAACTGACAAAGTCAGCATTTTCAAGCTCCAATTACCGCAAACGCAATTACCATATATGCCTGAAAGAGAAAGGAGTGGCCACGGACAGTGGCACAACTAATTCTCTGTCCATGCATAATTTATCGACTGATAATAGCGTCATCTAGGTGTTGATTAGAGTAGCACGGCGGTCATAAGCTTTCGAAATATTGGTACTTAATGCTCAAAATTCGAAAGATGATCCATTTGGAGGGTATATTTCGGTTAAAAGTTGACTTTCTTGGTAAAAACTTTGATAAAAACTGTCCTACCGCATATGAACCAAATGAAATTTTAAGATCTCGTTTTATTCGGTAGCGAAATTTATCTAATAGAACCCAAAAAGCTTTCTGGTTTTCCTAAAATTCATCCTGAGTCAGATATATCCAGTGTCTCCGCAAATACTGGCGATTTCCTAGCACTCTAGAGTTTACATGTGAAGCCCAACTATACAAGAGTATGTCATAAGAAGACACTACACGTCTTCAACCTGGTAATCACTGTGAAGAAAGTTTAATCTATGAAAAAGGGTCTGAATTCGTAAAAGTGATAATTCCATATAGTTAAATCCATTTGTTCCACATTAGCAAGACTAAACTATACACAACTGCGGTTCGCCATTGGAGGAGGTAGAACAGAGTTAGTTAAAATTGGCGTTAAGCGCAGGCATCTTAAAGGATCCTCCTCTTGGAATTAGCAATTGAACTCCATCTGGTATTGCACAAGAGCATACTAATCTACGCGTGGCTTGTTGCCATACCAGATTAACCTAACCTTACCGCAATCCATAGCTGTAGGAACTGAATTAGTGCCTTATTGCCTAAATAATATATCTCATAGTGAAGGTTCTGTACTTTTTTGAGTTTAGACTGAAAATTCTTAATTTCACATATTATTGGAATTTGGCGCCAGGCTGCTGGCGAACGAACTTATGCCATCATTAGGAAGTTGGAGCATTCGGAACCATGGAATCATACCGTCTCATGCGATTGAAGACTGGACATACGCAATGTTAATGTTTTGCTTCTCATCATCTTCCGTGCATGCTCTTAATTTAGCAGAATCCACTTTTCCAATTCTCTGAAGTTGGCATGTTAAGGGTAGGTGACTTGTGAAAACTCCTGCAATTTTACTACATTCCCTTTCGCCAAAAAGTAGAAGGTCTGTGTCTTTAGTCTATCCATTATCATACACCATACGTAACTTGTTGGTATGCCCTGTGTTGCTATTGTGCCACCACCTGAGTTGTGTCTCTAGTCTCCATAACTTTAAACAAACCTTCGAAACCTGGTCTAGGATGGTCCAACTATCTAACACCTATCTTTTTATTTCTATTCCTTAATGGCTGAATACCCAGATGATATTAACAGTGCTATCTACTGAGAGTCTAGTTATTGCTTGCTTGGATAAAGTCACGCAGTGAGCCCCTATTGCCGCTGGACTGTCTACTAGAATATTAATAAAATTGCTTAATAGAGCAGAGGCCCACTTAACACCTCCTGTTATGCCCACAATTTCGGCCTGAAAGGCTAATTTGATGTAATTTAGTTTAAAACTACCTTCTGGGTATGGCTAACTATATAAGAAGCCCACTCCTGTTCCTATTTCATTCTTTGATCCCTCGTTGAATATGTAGTTTTTGCTCTTGGAACTGTCTATCACAGAACCCTTGTTTAATTTTTCCTCTACCTGGGCATACAAACGTTGAGTTGAATTCCTCATAATCCTCCTATTCTCTGTCGTATTACCCGGGCTTATTAAAAAAGTTTGATACCATGCCTTAGAGTAGAGTGTGGCTCTAATAGTCTTAAATCAGGAGTCGGCTCTCCGTAAGTAGTTCCTTGTCATATATTAGATTATTCTTAGATTATGATTATAATCAAATTGTGATACAAAAAATCTAAAATTATGGGTTTTTAGCCGAAACCACGCCTTGGAAGCGAAATGAAAACTCACGTAGTAATTATCGTCACGAAGAATTTCCATATTTGTAGACGATCTAGGTATACCATATCACACGACCTATTTAACTTCGTACCTACGACATTCGGGTTTAAGTAACCGAAGCGGACGAGTATTTTGATCTAGGCAATGACTGTCAATTCGGTATCTTCCAACGGTAAACGGCTTACTAGTGTTGGAAACCGATAATTCAACGAAAGACAGCCTCTAAATTAACTCGTTACCAAATGTTGTGCCGACACATTTATAACCGTAAATCCGACTCAAGTCCTATTCATAAGTAGCTGATTATGCTCCGAGTGACTGTGACAGTTAGAAGATTGCGCGAAACCATTTGTTTATCTCTTCGCTGACAAACCGTTGACAGCACGGCGAATTGCGGGCGACAGCCACAAGCAGATTATGTTGCAACAAAAATGTAGCGCGTGTGCCACCTGTGTGCAGCGCTTAAAAGCCAGCGCTTTGCTGCGTTTTGAAACTTTTTCGTTATTTTTATGGCAACATCCGGTCTGCAGTCATCAACTTTTGCTTTTAACATTTTCTGAACGTTGGTTTATTTTACTAAAGTACTTATGACATACCGCTGGTATGCTTATGCCATCATACTCATGTTGCATGCACCATCTATGGCAGATTATCGTAGCTTGCATTTCACTTTGTGCGGTTTTATAAATTCAGTTGCTGGAATTTTGCCCTCAGCCATTTGTGACAACCAGTAAAGTTCAGCAAAGCGTGCGTGGTTAGAGGTGAGTGTTTGTTTGATTTATGGCCATATTAGCGAGGCTGACTCAAGTAGAAAACCTTTAAATTTGGTTAATTTTTGTTTTGTGTTTTTCGTCGTAGATCACTAGTTTGGTACGTGGAGTGTTTGTCTGAGAACGAACACAAGCCTTTACTCGGCTTATTTCGAGCTTATCTCCTTACTCTATGATTTCCTCTTTGAACCAACCTCTGCTTCTTTTCTTAGACAAAGCTTTGAATTTGCGTCGAAAATGTTCTATGGTAATATTCTTTTCTACCTCCTGACAGTTTCTAAAATAGTTATTGCATTGTTTTCCCAGTCTACTGGCCCATATTTCATTTATGCCATATTTGCGTGTTTGTTGAGCAAATTCGGGATTGATTCCGTTGAAAGTCAACTAAACAAATACGCATTTTTCCGAGTCTGATTGCAGGATGGTACATCTTCTGGCTAGTTCGTCTGCTTCATAGTTACGAGGAATATCACTATGTCCTGGAACCCACTGCATGTTTATCGTCAAATAGGATACTACCTGTAGATCCACCAAGTTATCAAGGCATTCTTTCACGAGCTTTGGCTTGGCAATCTGTATATATAAATATATATCTCGTTCTATTTCGGTATCTAATTTAGCTAAAAATACACCATATCTCGCTCGTTTATCTAGATATCATCGTACCCTGTGTCCTGGTCCCCTCACCCCTCTCGCACTCTTTTCTGTAAGGGAGGCAATATTGGCGAACGAAAATATCTTATCCATACTCTTAAAATTTGAAAGCAGCTAATGTAGCAGTTTTTTAAATGTTCAAAAATCGTTTATTTGGCGGCTGTTACACGAGATGCGTCTCTTGAATGATCTCAAACAGTTTCTTCTACAATATTTAGTACCTGGTCAATCGAAGTAGTACTTACTTGATTATCGGACTCGAAAATTTCGAAAAAGCATACATTCATATAATTTAATTGTGGTTTGCAGCGCGACTTAAGGATCCAAGGACTTTAAACTTACCTCTACGGACTACTGAGCAATCTCGTATCTCCGAAACGTCAGTATACCATTGAATTGTGTAGTAGCAAGAGTGTAGAATCTTTCCAGTCAGCTTTGTAACTTTAGACTTCTTTGTGAAGTTTAGGTATTCCACCTCATTTATCAACTCTAACTCTAACTATTTGCCGTCAAGAGTTAGTGTTCGAAACCGGCAGAGACTTGTCTGAAGCCTCGCTTAGTATTGAACGGTTTAGAAGTTAGCGGATTAGGCAGAGCACACTTAATACCAATTCTACCATGAAGCACCAGCTCTTTTTTTTTTTTTTTGCCTTTCCCAAGAACCAATTGTTTCGTTTGCAGTTGTATGTAGCTTGAAATTCCGTCCCTCCTCCAAGTCAAGTAGAAAATCGTTCGGCGCACGCACGTCTAAAACACTGTAGACATGTCTTCTGTCTAACAGAACTTGATCGATCTGGTTGGTGACGTTGAACTTACTGAAATTTCCTATGCCGGAATTTAGTACCACAACCTCAACCTCAACAAATTAACTTTCTACAAGCCCTTAATATTTAATGAAATTTATTGATTTGAAATATTTAACTGATAAATCAGTTGGTCAGTTACTAAATCAATCTTTCTTTTCAAACAAATTTTTGTCCAATCGTTCTTTGTGTTCACCTTTATTGAAAATCTCACAATTTTTACTTTACATATTCAAAAGAAATACAGTTATTTAAGTATATTAAAATTTGGCTTATTGCGTATGAGCTTAAGAACTACACAAATAAAGTGAAATAAATAAATATTTAATGCAAATCCATGCATAGAGACAATTCAAGAATATGTGTTCAAAAGTATTTTGCAAAAATTATAAAAAAAATTATAATAATTTAAACAATGACTTAAATGCGTTTTGGCGCTTTCAAACTATGGAAAATTGAAATTTATTGGAATCAAAAATTTAATTCGGCAAAGGATGTGAAAATAAATGCTTCTTTTTAGTACAAAAATTACGTCTTTAGAGTATGGTTAATAATTGCGTATGTGTATGTGTGACTATGCTACTTACTCAATTTAGCCAATATAAACTGTTTATTACCGAAAGCTAAGCATATTTTTTTATTTCAATCATCACAACAATACAAATTTGTGCAGTGAACGCTCTTTAGTTTTGCAGCCGTGTCCTTTGGTCTGTTTGCCTTTTCCTTTGCTCGTACATGCGGTGCTGGCGTTTAGAAAGCACCTTGTGGACGCACCTTCTTTTTGGGCTCAGCGAAGAGGATTTCGTAGAGTGCGGTGGGTAAGTGTTCGGCCATGAAAATTTCGATCTTTTCGCGTGCAGTCACCGGTGTGTAGCGTGCCATGGGGAAGGTGCGCGAGACGGCATCGATCAGCACGCGTAGAGCGGGTTGAATGTCAGCGGTCTGTAGGGAGTAAGTTGTTAGATGAATTATAGCGTATTCTGTTATCTATTATTTTAACCGAATTTAAATACTTTAATTGAAAAGTTCGCATTTATTACCTCTCTTGAGTATTTCTCCAATGAAGTCATAGCAGCTTCATAGTAATCTTCGCCATAGGTTTTCTTCTGTTCGGAGGTCAATTGTGCCCACATTGCCTTAGCCTGAAAAGAGTAATTTTTTAGTTAGTGTACTGATTTAGTAGAGAAGTAACAAGTTAAGTCTTTTCGATTCCAATAGTAGATTCTAACATTTATAAAGAGAGAACATTGTTGTGCTGTTCGTAATGGTTGGTATGTCAGAATGATCGAGCTCTGAACGACTCGTATTCTTATTACAATGACGTTTTTGGATTTGGTTAAAACTGAGCTGCAAGGCCTGGTATTCAGCTATCCTAGTACGTTGGAGTGACACTCAACAGAAATGGCTGTTGGGTTAACGCCAAAGCCCTCGGGACGTTAAAACCCAGACAAGCCTCAAAGTAGGTTCCCTTTTATGTTGGTCGGCTTTGAACGCAGTGTCTTACACACAAGAGCGTCCGTCAACTCTCGACTTGGTATCATTACTGGGTTAACTTTGGAACTATGAAAGGTCACTACCTTTCCAAGAGGGGAAGAGCGGCTCTGAATGAGGACGCCTATAGCAGCGAAACAAAACATAATATAGAAAAGGACGTGCGAGGATATAGGTCGGAATTGACTTCTTTGAGAAGAGATGAAGACTCTGGCGTTCGGTCATTCCGATCTTACGACAATCGGGTCAACATAACCGGACGGAACCGAAATATCTATCCGTTTGGTGAATTCTGCCGCTAGAAAAATAATACGGGCGGTCATTACTAGAGAAGACGGAATCGTTTTTCAGTAAGGGCAATGTGAGGACGTGTGCACCACGAAATGGATGGTAATATAGTGGGAGTTGACAGAAACTTACAAACAAGAAGGAAAGGCAGTGCTACGGTGCGAGGCGGAATCGTTAGCAACAGTAGTGGAGTCTCTGTGAGAATCATGGGGGAACTAGATGCCCGATAATTGTTAACGATTCCGGGGAAAAAAACGTGACGGCAGCGAATCTGCTTAGAAATGATAATCTTACAATGCTACGGTGATAAAAATGCAGGGCCGAAAATCTGAACAGCATTCTATCACACTCGAATGGGCGGATAGCGCTGATCAGCAGTAATGTAAACAGAGTGGGATCAAGCGATCTCCAGTCTGCTTTAAAGCGGCAGAGGTTGCAAGAGGAGGAAGCCGCTCTCGACAAGAGGTCACACTGTTAGGAGCGGCACCAATGTTTATCGAAATCGCCAAACTTATAGACTCTATTAAACTAGTATTTACAGGTATTGGCGGCTTAAGATATTTATAGTCTTTATGAAAGAGGTCACGCGAAGTCCCGGGTCTCCTGTCAGGAAAGTGCCATGGCCTCAACAAGTAGGTTGTGCTGACGAACGTTCTTAAACCCCTTATAAGGAAACAGTCTTAAGAGTGGGTTAAAGGATTAGATGCAGTGGCTAAAGTCGGTTTACCACTACGCCATCGAGCTTACGTTCGACTTCCCGCTGAATCCCGCCGGTAGTGCGGCGAAATCATTCATTATGAATGGACGACTAGAGGGGCATAGTTCCAGAAACCAATCTTCCTCTAGCCGTCCTGATCGTTATCATTATCATAACATCGCAATTTTAAAGTCTGCCTCATATGCTATATTATATCTAGCCAGCCTAAAACCTTTTTCTTCACACGAAATAGTGTTCATGAAAAAAAAAAACTGTAAAAACTGCACAAATTTTCAATATGCTCCTTCTCTCCCGAACACACTCGTTTATACCACGTGCGCATACATTACCGTTAATACTCCGTTGATGTTTATGGTGGCCATTTTGGCATCGCATCTGCACGGCGAGGTCATAAAATATATGAGAGAGTTGCAGCTGGTCAAGCGCAGGTAAGCCCGCCATTACATAGTTAAGTAAAGGCAGAAAGTACTCGCTGGCGGCAAAAAAATGCGCTATTGCAACTCACTTACTTTAATGGCCGGTAAGTAACTTGCTACGTTTATATTAGCCGCAACAATGGCGGCAACATATTTTTCTTTGAGATAACAAACTAGACAACGAGCAAAAGTTGCAAAAGGCGCGACTGCTTTAAGGTCTCATTACATAACACCTAACTGAAATTATCGCTACTTTCTAATAATTTTCTAAGGCGTTCACTTGTTGCGCTCACCTGTTCACGCAGTTCCGTCTCGTTGAGCCAACCGTTGCCGGGCGTAAATTCACCGGCTGCCACCACAGACACATCGACACCACGTTGGCGCATTTCATGACGCAAACAGCCGGCGAAGCTCTCAATAGCCGCTTGGGTGGCGCCTTGAATGCCGCGCACAGGTGCCGGAATTTTGCTAAGGCCTGTAATTATAGTTGTGTAGAAATGTAAGAGAAAGCAGAAAGACATGATAATTAGTAAAGAATATGCGTTCTGGTTTCTTTTCCGCGGAAAATTTAATATATATGTATTAAAAGGCATGCTGTACACACCTGAGGTTAAGAAGACAACGCGTCCAGTTGAGCGGCGAATTAACGGCAACATAATCTGGGTCAAACGTGCGGCACCTGCAGTGAAATTATACAATTATTAGTCTTTAGCGCAAGTTTAAAGCTTTACGTAAAGCTTTTATGTGATGAGCAGCTTTTATGTTACGTTAGATGTCGCTGTTTGTGTTTGTTTTCATAAATTTCCAATTCTTCACTTCGCTTGTTATTCGACTGCACTCACCCAACAAATTCAAATCCAATGACTTGCGCAATACACCGAATGGAATCCACTCCAACTCTCCAAGCGCAACCCAGTGAGCACAATGCACCACAGCCCACAAGCCATAAGCACCATCGGGTAAATGTTCAGAAATATAGACAGCGGCCTCAAGTAGCTATGTGGTGGGAGAAAAAGGAAGAGACAGAAAATAAATATATAAAATTTTATATAAATATATAAAATATAAAATTTTGTACATTTGAACGAATTAAAATGAAAAAGCTTTTAAGCAATATTGAGCTTTTAAATAAAGCTTTTGTGCCCAATTTAACTTTTTAATAAAATTTTAAGCTTACATTTAAAATTCTTTAATACCCAACTTAGTTTTTTAATAAAGCTTTTAGGTCTACTTCGCTTTTCTATAAAGGTTTTAGTAAAAGGCGATCTAACGTTGTATATCATTATTAAATTAATGTTAAAAAAAAGGTTTAATAAAGCTTGTATATCAACTTTAGCTTTTTAGAAACGCTTTTAAGCCCAATTTAGCTTTTTAATAAAGCTTGTAGTCGAAATTTAGATTTTTAAAAAAACTTATAGGCCCACTTTAGCTTTTTAATAAAGTTTCTATGTAGAAACATGATGCAGAAGATTGATTATGTTACTCAGGAGGTGTTCGAGAGCAAGAGTAACTCAATGGTTCATATTCTTTATCCAGTAGTAGCAGAAAAAGGAAGAAATACAAATTTTGTTTAGCAGCTGTGAAGAAATTAAAGCTAACTTTGTACAATATTAATAAGTTAAAGTAAAAAAAGAGAATTTAATAAAGCTAGTAGGCCTTATTTTGCTTTTAAGAGAGCTCTTAAGCGCAATGTAGCTCTTAGGAAAGCCTTTAGGTCGGTGGATGATTTAAAAGGCTTGTAGACCCAATTTAATGATTTAGGAAAGCTTTTAGGTTCAATTTACCTTTTGAGAAAGCTTTCAAGCCCCATTTAGCTTTAAAGAATGCCTTTAGGTCGATAAATAATATAAAAGGGAGACTATGTCACTGATATAATTTTCGATATTGAAAATAACCTATAGGTTCATATGCCTCTACATCTATCAAAGGCACGAATTACTTCGGAAACAAATAATTACATCGATTTGGTTCTGTTTTTGAGTGCTTCCGGTAGAAGTAAAAAACTATAAAAAATCAATAAAAGTGGTTCAAAAGCGCACTAAGGATAAACCTATTAAAACCTTTTTAGCACTGTTTGGTGCTTGTCTATACTAAAAAGTTCACCAAGGACGAGCCTGCACATATGATAGCTTTAAAGTTACCTAAAAGCTTTCTAGCACTGTGTTGGTGGTTGTCTATACTAAAAAAGCTTTGCCAAGTTTCAAACAAAAAACAAACAAAAAAAAAAGCATTTTTACTTAAAATAATATTTTTTATTTAATTCGTTTATATTTTAGTATACATAGACTACTTTTTACTTACTGATTTCTCCGAGCTCACATCCACATGCAACAATTTCAAACGACCGGAAGTTTCCTCCTTCAGGATTTTCGCCTCATCTGAATCAGCGATGGGCACACTGAAGCCAGCGTAGATAGTGAAACCTAAATCGTCGAGTTTCTTAGCCAAATACCAAGCGATGGGAGTTTCGCAGCCAGTAATGAGTACACCTTTGCCATATGAGGAGACCTGTTGAATGTAAAAGAAGGGAAGGTATAAAATGAGAGTACATAAAAATAATATAATAGTAAGAGAAGCGAATAATTTATTGAAAATTAAGTACGAAAATGTTTAATATACATATATATAATATATGTTCAAAACTAATAACTATTTGTAGCTGAGAATGAGTCTGTCAGAGCGTATGAGTAATTTTCTTAAATGTTTGGATTCAACCAAATCATTTGATGTCAGCCAAATTTTCAATAAACGAGAGTAAGCTTTGATAAGAAAGATTAGTGACTTAACTTGCTGTGTATTTGGAACAAATTCTAAAAATATAATCACAGTTAGGGACAATAAAAGAGAGTAAGCGATCCAACTTCATAGACGCTGTTTTAAATTAAATTTTCAAAATTTACTAAACGTACGCTTTAACGAAATTCCTTACCTTTCACAAATAAAGTACTTGAAATTTTTATTTTTCGAAAACGAGTACCGTTATATTGCAAATTTGGTATACACGAATACGCATAATAATGCTTCTGCTGGCCATATAGAGACTTTTCGCCAACTCAAGTGGCGCATATTATGCACGCACTCCATGTTGTTGACAACCACAAACGGCCATAACAATCATGTGCAACCGTTATGTGGAAATTCCACTAATGAAAGTGATGGTCAGTCGACAGTAGGCGTAGCATAAAGAGCGCGGTGACCGCAGCAATTGCGTTGATGCATTAAAATGAATGAGTATACACATAGAAGCCAAAATTGGCTGGGAAATTTTGAGAATAGATTAACAAGAGTCACAAGCCAGCTGCTGCACAGCCATGTTAGCGAGATTGAAGAATCCACTGCACACATGAATGGAGTGATCGCATACATACATACGTAAGTATACTATTAGTCGTTTTGGTGAAATATTTTTTTAGGAATGCTTAAAGTTATCCCAGTCGGGGTAAAGTACCCCGAAAATTGTATATAAAACGCAAAATATTTACTTATTCATCAATATTGATATTGTTGCCAACAAAGTAATCTCCACCAATACAAGTGCGTCAATGATTTTTTGTTATGGGATGGCATTCAGCTCCATCAGTACGAGATATGTCGAGCTTTTTTGCAGACTCTTTCGCATTTATATGCAATGTTGAGGAGGTATGTCTCTCTGTGGCTTGGGGTGTGAGCAGAGCACACTTAAATGCCAAACGTCGGGCCTGCTTTCGTCCGATCATTGTCTACAAAGAAGCTGATGCATGCTCCTTATCAGTGCTTCGCCGCCGTATTGGAATAGCTCTGTCGGCAATCCATCGGCCCGCGACGCTTTGTTTTTCTTCGGAGGAGAGATTGCTATTCAAACTTCTTTATGGTTAGGCAATGTAACGTCTGCACCATAGTCATTGATTGGGAAATCGGGTTCATCATCTCCTAGTGTTATGCTTTCGCTGCCATTCAGCTGGCTGGAGAAGTGTTCACTCCATAATTTCAGTAACTATGTAGATCACCCCTGATGATTCTACAAGAGTGTGCGCTGTGTCCGCTCTTGAAACCTTCTGTTCGTTTTCGCATCTTGTCGGAAAATTATCGAGCATAACCCTTGCCAACCAGCTTGTCAAGCTCTTTGTACTCACGTTTTTGTTTTTTTTTTGCGTCTCGCTTTCCCGCACTTGTTGTGCTCGATTGTAACGTTGCGAGGTAGGAAGTCTGTTTTCTCTGAACTGCGAAACGGCACTCCTCATCGTACCGGCTGTTCTTTTGCATTCTCCGAAAACCAATGATTCCGGTTGCAGTTCTACGCAAGGAGCTTGAACTACCGTCCCACAGTTTCTACTTATACCGAGTTGCTGATGAGTACTTTCAGAGAGCAGCAATGCATGTCGAGCAGAAAATCGTTCAGCTGTTTGTTGTGATTGCAGCTTCTCGACAATAAATCTTCTTTGTGATTATGAACATGCCTTTTTTTGTTGCGCAGAGGCGGGTGTGTTTCTTCGCTGCAACAAGTTAGTGGTTCGAGTCAGTGCTAGGATTTCGGACCATACGCATTTATAAAACATTGGAGACGTGTCATCCGAATATGGTTGATGGTTTTTCGATCTGCTCTACAGAGACCACTTTCCGGCAAAATTCGATCAGCCGCAACCTAGTTGATTAAGAGTAAGCAACACTGGGCTCCAAGCGCACATAAACACAACTTTGGTAACATTGAACTTTTCTTCCGCGGGGGCATGTGTGCAATTCAGCGATATGTTGCAGAACTTCGCTTTGATCCGGATTGTGGCTAGACGTTCATCCACTAGAGTGAATGATAGTACTCGGCGACGGAGTCTCTCTTCCACCACGAATCCCACACCGAATTTGTGCTTCTTTATGTGGCCACTGAAGTTGGTGCACCAAGGGCCTACTCGTCTCAGTCCTTGTCGCGTCCATTGCACACTCTTGGACATACGCATATATAGAAGTATCATTTCGGGTCACTCCCAAGTGAATGGCGCTCAGAAAACTTTCCTCATTTGCGTGAACTTCGACACATGGCTCCACTCTTCCAAAGGATACATGTTCAATAATTTTAACAGTTTGGACACCAGTAGGTGCCTAATTTCTCACTTGAGTTCTAACTCTGGCTCTATGGACTCTACGTAAGCTCAGTAAATGCTCGTCAACAACTAGAGATTGTACGGCTGCAGGATTCTTCCAATTGAAAACGTAATGTAGGTTGTCCTCTGAATTGCTTGTTCTAAACAAAGTTCACCTCGCTGCAATTATAAATGTGCCGACTAGCCACTGTGCATTAATCTTACACTTACTTACTAAAAATCATGTCAGACGCCAATTGTTAAAACTCTATGGAGGAAGGTGAGGATGAGTCGCTTTTATTGTTTACTTTTAGTAAGATTGAGATTGAAACATTTCTAAACTTATACTTTCAGCGAACTGAGTGATTTGGGATTGATATTAGCCGCCTTAATAAATATACGATAGGCTTTAAAGTCTTTGAAGCTGCGCTGATCCTCAAGAAGCTTAATCTATAGTCTTTGAAGTTCTGCTGTTCCATATCTAGGAGTTTGGGCAGCACTACAGACCTGCGTTCACAGCCGGGTTACATTTACTCGGCGGCTTAGCCTATGACCTTAGCTAACCTCATCCAAATAAATTTTAAGATAGCTGCACTTGATTTCACACTGCGTATATTTCCGCTAAAACCTTCAATTTCTTGGTGAAATAAGCTAAGAAAATATCCCTTAAATATTATGAATACATTTTTGATACTCGTTGCGTTCTATAAATAGCAAAGCCAACATTAAAGTAAATCAATGGCTTTTAAAGTAACAGAGCACCTGTTGCTGTGCCGCCACCAACGACAATCCCGCAGTGGATTGCTTCAATTTCACTCATACCCATGCAGCCTACAGCCCTTGTCAGGGCATCTGATTACACGAGTGTGCATAACTTATCCTATGTACGCATAGCATAGCGCATCAGGGTAAGGCATATATGTGTGTATGTGCATTTACTTTTGCGACTACATACGCTTTATATATACATATATATATATATATATAATACATAAATATGTATAGTATTGTTTATATAAATAAGCTGTACAACGTTTTCGTGCTGCCCAAAACTCTTCCTAATTGGCAAGCTTGCGCCTCTAATGCGATTTAACGGAACAAAGCAGCTGAGACATTCTCATATCAGCGTGAGAAAAGAAAGTAACGCAACAAGGAGCAAGAGAACATTCTGACAATAAAGGTAAATGAAGGTGTAAATATGAGGAAAGATATAAGAAAACAAAAGTAGCTGCCAGAGATGTGGCAGCGCTGCTTTTATATGTGTACATGGTTCGCTTAAAGAGCAGTAGAAAGAGGTGAGTGTAGGTGACTTTAGAAAAGAGAGGAGCATGTGTGATTGTCATACATTCTAAGAAATTGCTGTAATCTAAGTATTTTTGTGGAATACATTTAAAGCGCTGCTTTTAAAGTTTAAGTACTAGTGGTTGAAAGGAGGTTGATTTCGCGGAACTGCAGCAAAGAAGTGCGAGTCACTCCCAAACCTATGCTAAGCTCGAATTGCTGCTTCCAGCAAAATATTTTTGAATGCGCTCACGTTATAAAGGAAGCTTTCCATAGCATATGGACAGCGAGCCAGGAGACATGAGTGCGGAACCGCTTACACGACAGTAACCGGAACGGACCCGGACTTTCTCGAAAGCCGAAGACTGTCAACTCGGAAGAATTCCGCCGCTACAACAATAACAAGAGGGAAACGCTGTGCCCACTGATTTGCCCTTTCATTAGGCATACTTTACCCTTGAAAGACGATTTGTTGGGATACTACCAATCAATTTCTCAAACGTTTTCAATAAGAAAGACAATAAACTGTGGGTCTCAAGTCTTTGGACAACACATGCGATCCCTTAACGGCTTTCGGAATGAAGAATATTCTTACCAGCCTCCAATCCACAGGAATATATCCCAATCTAATTAAGTTCGCATAGTTGGATACCAGCCATTTAAACAAAAGCCTGATAGCTCGCTGCAGTTGCGCTGGCATATTAGCATCCAAGGTGACTTCAATGATTTGAATGACGTTATCACCCACACCAGGTGATGTTCATTTAAAGGTAAAAAATGAATGCGCAGTCCGCCTCAGCCGATTCTAGAGATACCGTCCCAGGGCTAGGATTGCTCGGAAAGTGAACATCTAGGAGCAACTTAAGTATGTCCTGACCACTGCGAGTGCAGCTACTACTCTTTCCTTTAAATATGCCAGCGGTTTGTATTTTTTTGCGACGATGCGACCTTGAAAGTTTATGACATCCTTCCAACTTTCCGCAAAATTTTTTATATGAAGACTTCTTGGAGCCCGTTTAAAAAGCCGTTTATGAGAAGTTTTGATTTGCGAAAGATGCATTGCCAAACAGAAGGTTTTCTTCTGCTGCTTGATGATATAGTATATGTATTCAAAGATATGATAATTTCGATTTATAAAACATGGATTATTTTCTTTAAAAGGTTAATAAGCTC